GCCCCTTAATGCCGAGCGCCGGACAGGGTAACAACAAGTACCATCTTTTAACGTCTTTTGGTATGACGCGGCCGGGGATCGAACCCCGGACCTTCCGCTCTCCGGGCTGACGCTCTACCACAAGACCACGGAGGCGGCGACGATTGATGACAATGGTGTACAAGACCATTCACTCACTCTCAGTAGTTATCAATACCGGCAAGAAAACACCGTAATCGGTTGTCTCTGCTTAAATACAATACAACCCCACATGCCCAAACATTGTGTTCTATTTTGATCACATATAATCGTCACTTGTTTGGTTACATTTACTGTGATACCCAAATAGGTCATCTGTACCAAGTCCGAAGGTATTGTTGCCGAGGCAATGTCCGGTCTACCACTAGTGAATATCTCTTCAGAAATCAGTTTCAATAGGATCTTAATATATCAACTCCTTGATATATATGTAGAAAATGTAAACCTTTATCGGACAGTTTTCAACAAATGTACCTTTGGATCTGTAAATTTCTTCTCAAAATGTGCTATGTAGTCTCTCCTCTCAAGATCAAGCTGAAAAATTGACAGAACAATATGTTTGAAAGGTTAATTCGTTGGATTGGCTAAAACAATGAAATTAAGCCTGAAAATGATCAAATGTCTAAAACGTCCAGATGTCTCAAAACAATCAGCGCCGCGTGAACAAGGGGCAATACAAAAGCTTTCTTTATTTGTGGTGAAACGCAGCACTCACCTTATTCCAGCTATATGATGGCGGTCTGTAATAATCAAGTCTGGACCAGAAAATCCAGTGATTATTTAGCTTGAGCATCGATCTACGCAATTGGGATACGATGACATCAACCAAGTCAGCGAGCCTGACCATCCCATCCCATTAGTCGCCTCTTACGACAAGCATAGTCGCCTTTTCGGCAAGTATGGGTTGCTGAAGCTCTATTCTTTTCCGGATCTTAACGGGTGGCAATACCTAAGCATCAGACTGGGGTTTTATGGGTGTGCTAAAAAAAGGTATCACCACTTCCGTTTGCCCAAAATTCTTATTGAAAATGACTGAGTGAGTAACATCATAAATGTGAGTAACATCATCGCAATAGCATTGGAATTGGCAAATGATACTCAAGGCATAAATAGTCCATATCTCAGGCATTCTCTGACTTTTATTTAAGTGGGAGTGTTCTTAGCAGTTGAAAGTTAATATTTAATTAAGATATATCGATGGGCTATTTCCGAGAGCATACTTTGAAATGAATGATAATCAGAGTGAGTGAGTTTGATTTAACGCCGCTTGGAAAGTTTTCGAGTTATATCACGGCATGTCAGCTTAATGTCAAAGAAAAGTCCGACGCGATGCAGGTTCAGACGTTTACCACTAAGGTGAAACCAGCGAGCAAGGGTATGGTGCTGACAAACCTAGAAACATAATCAGGGCGAACCGAGACACACGATCATAAGTTGCTGACGTGCTCACGGGACGCATCTCTGCAAAGCGAATAGTGGACCCCAGTTACCCCAGTGAACCAGGGTCCACTTGCATGAAGCTGTGCAACACCAAACATAATACAACTTTACAATAGTTCCACTGGCTTCCTGTTACCTTATTCACCTTATGAGAAGTAGTCCTTATAAACAATAAAGACGTTTCAAGTCTTCATGTACTTCCAACTTCTAAAAGTGTATGAAAGACTGTGTGATAAAGAATAGAAACTAAAATGTGTCCGTACTTACCAAATGGTTTCGATGGATGTCTTCCAATTCATCTCAAAGAAGAAAAACGCGTCATTATCAAATGTAGCTTTCAAAGGCAACACTCTGCTCACATTTGTGTCGACTATTGTGCTTGTTACAACTTGATAACTTGAAATGAATAATCCCTTTGTTGATAGCGTGACTATTCGGAATAGGATAGTACGGGAACACCAATGTAAGCTATTGATTCACCGAATATGAATTCCTAAGAGATGCATATGACGCCAAATCCACAGAAACAACCGGAACAGATCCCTGATTTTGCAACAAAAGACATCCTTTTTTTTGTCCTAGGTATACAGAACATCCATTACAGTAATTATAGAAATGAATGCACCCTTTTAGGCCTATAATCGACTCAATGTGATTATTAAAATATATACTCATAAAAAACAACAACTTGACACTGACTTTCAAAATGTAATATAATGCGATTGTTTCAAAATAGGACACAGAAACCATAATTGAAACACTGTTTGAAGATCAATGTACACAATGTTCAAAACATTAATCGTGTCACCTGGACAGACACACGTACACGATACAGTTAATGTCACAGGGGTACAGAAAATGTCAGTATCGGTTGTGCCCATCACGTGCATCAATCACCGCTTGACACCGACGACCCAAAGATGCAATCAAGTTGTCAATAACACGCTGTTGCATGTGCTGCCATTCATGCTGAAGTGCATCAAGAAGCGCCGGAAGTGTTTGGGGCGGTGGATTCCTTCTGCAAACGCGTCGATCCAACTCGTCCCACAGATGCTCAATCGGGGACAAATCTGGTGACCGGGCTGGCCAAGGTAATGTCTTGATGTTGTTGTGCTGTAAGAAGTCCTGACAAACACGTGCTATATGCGGTCGAGCGTTGTCCTGCTGGAACTGTCCGCCATGAACGTTGACGTGAGGAGGAACGTAAGGCTGTAGGATCAAGTCTCTGTAACGCACACCTGTCAATGCACCTGCCACATGCACGAGAGGCGTCCTACCACCAAAGGGCCAGATATCATCCGATCTCAGTTCACTGCCACTCTAATTATGAAACGTCATCGTCAGAGAATAATAACGCCGAAACATTTCATTGGGTGTAAACGGTAAAATAGTGGTAAAATATATATGATATCACTGAACATCAGCAATTACTTTTGATAATTTTGAAGAGATTAAACCAAGCAACGCCTAAGCAAAAATAACTGCTAATGAGCCTTAGGCATGTTTGAATCAGATACCCCGTCAATTCAACGTCCACATGAACGCCATATGGCAACGTTTCCAAATGACAACTACGCCAGAGACTGTCCCTGTAGTAGCCCCCTACCAGTGACATCACATAGCCAGGACATATGGATGAGAAGCACGCATCATCGCCACAGGTTCGAGGCAGCAACTTTGACAGCCCAGACCATCCCTAGCAACATATCCATATCTGAAAGGACACTACGACGACTTCTACACATCCCTGGCATCCGCGCGAGGCGCCCAGCCAGGTCATTCCAGACGGCAAAACATCAACGTCAACATCTCCACTGGTGCACACAACACCAGCAGTCGACAGCACGTCAGTGAACAGGATTCTTCTCTGTGTCAATTTGCTTTTTTCAACAATCCGATGGCTGGAGACGTGTCAAAAGGTGTGATCTGTCACCAATTGATCTCGCCTGGGATGAAATGGTACGACCTTTGCAACGTCTTCCAAATCTTCGAAAACCGTTTCAGGAAATTCGACCTATCCTTCCTCAGATATGGAATGCCTTTTCCAGGCCTTTCTTCAAGGAAAGGGAGGATGTAATGCCTACATCAGTGCACAAGATGGAAACACTGGCTACTGACTGTAAACGTGCCTCTTACCTCTTGTGTAACATGACTCTTGTGTAACATAACTCTGTATGTCCTGATGCTCGTTTCCTATGTTCAGACAGTCTTTCCATGTGATATAACTCCATCCACGGCACGAAATTGTATTGACCGATTCTTTTTTCAATATGTGAAAATAACTTTGGAGTATGTTATATGAATTGATTTCTGTCTGACGATAATGAAGACATTGTTACTCGTCACGCTCTCCCAAATCCCGCCCATCTCGCCAAACATCAACCCACCAACTCACACAATGTTAAGGGGGGAAGCAATCTATGTACTTCTCAGAGACCATCAACGACATGCAGACGGAGTCTCCATTCCTTTGGGAAAAGCGTGTTATTCCAATGTAATCTTGTCTACCTTATGCGCTGACTTCTGACTTTTGTACCAAGGGATAGGGCAACTAAATTTAATCCTTCAAATTAAGCTTCACAAGTCCCTACTCTTTTAGCTTTTTATTGCTATAGATCAGGCTGCAGGTAACGATGTTCGCATAGTATCTTCATTGTACAGCATGAGGGAGTTATTCAGCTGTGTTTTACAACGCTTTGGTTTTCGGTTATCACAAAGCAGGTCAGCTATGTGTGGTAAAAAAACATATAAGTGAAAAAACACTTTCCATTTTCATGAGAAGTTTCTGCTGAAAGCGGAGTGGATTATACGATTCATGAGCAGGTGTTTATTAATTAGAGATGATACCAGGTGTCCGCGACGAGTGTAACAGAGACCTTAAATGTTTGGTCTTTGACGTTTACCACTTTGATGCAACCCACAATGCTGACAAAACCAACAATCCTAATCTGGGCGAATCTTGGATTTGAAACCCTTGAAGATCCGGGTAAGAATCGGTCTTGAACAATCCCTGCTTACCGTAAAAGGCGGATATGCTTGTCGTAAGAAGCGACTAACAGGATCGAGTGGTCAGGCTCGCTGACATGGTTGACTCGATTATTTACAGACGCCGTAGATTGATTTTTGCTGAGTGCAAAGTTAAACAACAAACAAACAACACTTGGATTAGAAAACAATATAGATACAGATGTCGATAATGATTGTGGTGTAGTTGACAACATTTATGTAGGCTCGGTCGCAAATTATTTTTCAAGCATTGTTTACATCCGACCATGCACATCAGCATATATGTAAGTCCTCCCCTTCGAGGGCGGTCAGGTAGCCGAGTGGTTAAAGCGTTCGCTCGTCACCCATGTCGGGAATCGAACACTGGTCTTCTGCGTGACGAGCGAACGCTTTAACCACTAGGCTACCCGACCGCCCCTCATAGACAGACTCATTGGTTCCCTCGGAGGTGGAGAAGAAGGAACCACCAGTGTAACGCCAAGCATATAGCTGTCATGCTGAGTGTGGCGTTAAACAACAAACAAACAAACCAAAACTTTGATCTACCTTTTATTGTGATTGTAATTTGCCATGGTCTCAATAGTTGACTTAATGGTTACTTTAACCTGATGTACTCATAGATAGGCTCATTGGTTCCCTCAGAGCTGGTGTAGAAGGAACCGCCAGTGTTACTCCAAGCAATGGCTGTACCATACCATTCTTGAAGGTAGGGGAACTTCACTCTGTTGTCGCTGTCACTCAGGACAGATTTCATCTTGGTCTCGTCCTCCACGTAGAAGTAGTAGACACGATCTTCCATCTTGAAAATAAAGCCTGTTCCATCAGGCGATATATCCGCACTTTTCGGACCTTCGTAGTAGGACCACAAGCCAACACTGAAAAGGTACCTCGCCCGTCCACCGACAATCTCATAAAAGGGGAATGAATCTTCCACAGAGTCCATGGTAAATATGCGTCCTGATGGAGACACCATCAGGGTTTCACAGTTACTTGTGTAGGAACTGAAAATAAACGAATGACAGTTAGAAGGTGTGTTGAAAGAGAAGAATGCTTATGTTAGTCGTGTATATGCCTTTTGCGACCGGTCGTCATATAGCTGGAATATTGCTGACAACAACAACAAAATTATGCGACCATTCATCTTTATCATGAGTCACTTCGGGGTAACTGTTGCGTTCCTCACGTCTTCATAAGTGAATCCCTTATTTCCTCACGCATCTTATTTTATATAAAACTCTGTCGTAAATAGTAAGAATTCTATGCACCTGAACGTATGGATGTATGTACCAGGGTAGGTACGAGGGTTGGCTGAAAATCCTAAGTAATGCGGATGTATAGTACACCCTTAACACCTTCCATGCTTACGGGTTGCATTTGAACCAAATACAGAACCATGCAGCATATTTCAGCAGGTATCAAACTGACTAGACATAATCGAAAATGGACAAAATTGGCCCCCAGTATTGACATGGTGTCAATGAGGTCCTTTCCTTTGCCACTGTTAAGACATGCGCAGTGGCGTTCAAGGGGATAAGAGAGAGCATCGAAGATGATCTCAGATCAGGAAGACCGCCAACTGCCACCACGAGGGGAACCATTGATAAAATGGGTGATGTGATAATTCTGAGGAATGAACTGGGCATGAGTAAGGTGAGTAGATATCTAGCTTTCACTCAGACCCTGAAAGATATGTACATTCAAAATTGGTATATTTCCTTATCAGTATCAAAGAAACTATAAGTTATTCCCTCTTTAAAACAGCTTCTGTGGAGAGTAATACTTATTAGATGTGACACTAAAAACATTTCGAATTGCACTTGCAAGATTCAGATGTGGTTTCACGCGAACCCTTTATTGAGACGGGACGATATATGGGGATCGTGAGAGAACACAGCATTTGTCAGTTTTGTGATTAAACACTGTAGAAAATGAATACCAGTTCTTCCTACTTTGCCCGTTGTTTGCTGAACCCAGAAAACAGTTCACTGATAAATATTATATCCGTTATCCAAGTCTACAGACACTTGTTACATTAATGTCAAGTAAGAGTGCATGACTGGGTGAGTTGGGTTTAACGCCGCTTTTAACATTATTCCAGTTATGTCACGGCGTGTCAGCTTAATGTGGGAGGAAAGCCCGAAGTGATGCAGGTCTTAGACGTTTACCACTTCGGTGAAACCCACGAGCACGGGTATGGTGCTGACAAACCTAGAAACATAATTGGGGCGAACCGGGATTCGAACCCACAATCATAGGTTTCTGGCGTGCCCAAGGGACGCAACTCTGCACAGATATCGCGGCGCCTTAGGCGACTGGGCCTCCCGTGTCCCCGTCAAGTAATAATGTAGTAATAACGAAAAAGCTGTCAATGTACATATTGCATGCTATGAAGCTAAGAAGTTCCAAATGTGTTACCTTATTAATGTATATACACCCATTTCTATATAACATGAACTATAGGCCTATGGCCTCTCTGTATTATGAATAAACACATATACGAGTAAGGTTTCAGCCGTTAACTTCCAAAGTGTTTGGACCTCAGAGGGGAATATTTTAAAAATAATACCTCCACCAACTCAGAGCATCATAGTTCAGAAAAGAATCAGAACTTTTCAGCCAACCCTCTGTTTGTACATACCTGATGAGGAGTCTGAATAGAACAAGCTTGTTGCATGGTACCCTAGTTTCCACGATTCTGAGATATTTAGTGAGTTACAACTTTTGTCAGAATTCTTACTCTGTAAATATGCTTTAAATATGTGTTTAGGTCCTATTTTTATACCTTATTCCTTCACATATCATCGATATCAACGCTTCATAGACACAGTACCGGTACATTCGAATTCAATCGTTTTCTTTGTAGAGATCGGTCGGCACAAACTTTTGTTAGCAATGTTCATAATAATGAGATTCGGACTGTGCCGTTGATGAGATATTCCTCCCACAATGCCTTGACAGCAATCAGCAATGTTTCAGCTTTATAATGACGAAAACGTTAATATAAAGAAATTAACACTCACTCAACGAAAGGCAAAGAGGCCTCGATTTAAGATGAGTGAGTGAGTGAGTTTGATTTTACGCCGCCTTTAGCATTATTCCAGCAATATCACGGCGGGGGACACCAGAAATGGGCTTCACACATTGTACCCATGTCGGGAATCGAACCCGGGTCTTCGGCGTGACGAGCGAACGCTTTAACCACTAGGCTACCCGACCGCCCCCGATTTAAGATGAAATATCAAACGCCAACCAGAGAGAATAACCAATGTCGATCATCTGATGAAACAAATTCCATTAGCCGTAAAAGGCAAAACAGCCGTGAAATTTATAACCAGTTACAATATTGTTCGATTCTTGACCATCAATATATATGTGCTGAACTTGTTACCTGAAGGAAGTTGTCTCGACGTCTGTGACAACCTGATCTGCTGAGATATCCTCTGGCTCCTTAAATTTATATAATTTGTTGACAGGTCCGCTCCCTGAACTGCCAGCATCTAAGATGTAGATACAATGATCCCCATTGCCATTGGAACATGGACCACATGCCATGTCCTCCCAGTCCACGTTGGCTACATTCAGAGTAATTTTGGAAATGATTTGGCCATGGTTCTTGATGTCAATGGCGTAAACCCATCCTTTTCCACTTGAGCCGTCATTGATATAGTACAGTACACCCGGATGTACCCGACTGGCGCATAAACCGGAGGCGTGGTCTCCCTCGTAGTTTCTGAAGTAACCTGCGTACATACGACTTGTGAATTCTGAAATAAAATAATTATTGAAGTGGGAATATGAACTTGGTAGATGGTGAACACAAGATTTGTCTCTGTACTTATTTAATAAGCACGTTTTGTGACAGAAAAAGTAAAGCTGTTCAGGGACGTACAACTTATTGCACCATACATGACTTTTCATATTATTGGGGTCCTTGGCTTTCCGAAGAAAATACAGCAACATATATATTAGCGAATGCTTTACCCACAGGGCCACCACCCAACCCCTTGTAAATATTGGAGCCTAATATGATTCATCTCACAAATCTAGAAGCGGAAAGGAGGTTTCAGTAAAAGACGTAAAAGTGAGTGAGTGAGTATGTTTTTACGCCGCTTTTAGCAATATTCCAGCAATATCACGGCGGGGGACACCGGAAATGGGCTTCACACATTGTACCCATGTCGGGAATCGAACCCGGGTTTTCGGCGTGACGATCGAACGTTTTAACCAATAGGCTACCCGACCGCCCCACATATATAATGGAATCGATATTATTAAAAAGTAAGTTTTACATAAACGTCAATATAAGTTTGTCTTTGTGTTTTTGTCAAAGATGTTCGAAGGTCTTAGTGGGCACCTGATGATAATCATATTTGTTCATTGCATTAAAATTTACATTTAATAGCTTGTTTATTCGCAATCATTGGTGCGCTGACAATTTGAAATGGTGTTTTATATGATTAACATTTCATTGTTAGGGAGTGAGTATGGTTTTACGCCGCTTTTAGCAATATTCCAGGCATATCACGGCGGGGGACACCAGGAATGGGCTTCAAACATTGTATCCATGTCGGGAATCGAACCCGGGCCCTCGGCGTGACGAGCGAACGCTTTAACCAATAGGCTACCCCACCGCCCCACATATATAATGGAAACGATATTATTAAAAAGTAAAAAAGTTTTAAATAAACGTCAATATATTTTTGTCTTTGTGTTTTTGTCAAAGATGTTCGAAGGTCTTAGTGGGCACCTAATGATAATCATATTTGTTCATTGCATAAAATTTACATTTAATAGCTTGTTTATTCGCAATCATTGGTGCGCTGACAATTTGAAATGGTGTTTTATATGATTAACATTGCATTGTTTACGTAAAGACATTTAAATTCAAGAACCTTTTCCTTTTCAAGAAGTCACAGGGGTACATCAGGGCTGTTTAGAGAGGTCACGCCGATGACCAGGGTTCTTGGTGTACCCGATGTGATGCTAAAAGCAATGCTGATCACTCTGGAACAGCAAGGCTCTTAAAAACTAATTTGACTTGGGTGTTTTTTTAAAGTTATTTAAATCGAACAAAATATTATTAAAATTGTGAGAAAAAAGTGTATCATCATTAATGTGTACTATGTCATCAATTCATTAACATGTTCATATAGAAGCACTGATGTTTTTGCCTGTATCATAATTATAATTATAATTAATGTAACGTATTCCATTCAAGTCTTTCACACCGGTATTTCTACTGCCTCTACCACTGTCGTAGTTACTGCCCCGAATAATAATAATGTACTCATCTGCTGTTGCTACTCGTTTCTGCTACTGCTAATACAAACCGTTTGGTTTTATACATATTAGGAAGGGTTGTTTTGAATATTTTATTTATGGCAACCAGTTTCATGAGAATAATGAGGGAGTGAGTTGGTTTTAACGCCGCTTTTAACAGTATTACAGTTATATCGCGGCGTATCTGCTTAATGTGGAGGATAGCCCGAAGTGATCAGAAGTGAAGGTCTCAGACGTTTACTACTTCAGTGAAACCCACGAGCACGGGCATGGAGCTGACAAACCTTGAAACATAATTGGGGCGAACCGGGATTCGAACCCACAATCATAGGTTTCTGGCGTGCCCAAGGGACGCAACTCTGCATAAAGCGAATCGCGGCCCCTTAGACGACTGGGCCACCCGTGCCCCCTGAGAATAATGAAGGTGAGGATTTCGAAAGTACAAATGCATAGACAACATTGTGCTTAGAGTGTTCAATGATAAACATAGAGAGAGACCCTGTATACAAACATGCATAATAAGAATATCAGTTTAGCCCCAAAGGAAACAGAAAATTGGAAAAAAATCATTATCAATATCACAAGTTTAACAAGTTCAGTTCGTAATGGAATGAAATCTAATTCTGTTTACGTTTGTTTGTTGGTTGGTTTGCGCCGCACTCAGCAATTTTCCAGCCACATGACGGCGGTCTGTAAATAATCGAGTCTGGACCAGACAATCCAGTGATTGACACCATGAGCATCGATCCGCGCAATTGGGATACGATGACACGCATCAACCAAGTCAGTGAGCCTGACCGATTCCGTTAGTTGCCTCTTACGACAAGCATAGTCGCCTTTTACAGCAAGCATGGGTTGCTGAAGAGATATTCTACCCCGGATCTTCACGGGTCCGAATTGTAACTTAATTTGGACGAAGTCTAATCTGAATGTAACTATGTTATAAGATGAAGTTACAAAATATCAGTTGACCAACACAATTATGTGAGTGAGTGAGTTGGGTTTAACGCGTCTTTCACAGTATTCCAGTTATATCACGGCGTGTCAGCTTAATGTGGGAGGAAAGCCCGAAGTGATGCAGGTCTCAGACGTTTACAACACAGCATGGGTATGGTGCTGACAAACCTAGAAACATAATAGGGGCGAACCGGGATTCGAACCCACAATCACAGGTTTCTGGCGTGTCCAAGGGACGCAATTAGACACAGCGCCGTGGAAGATTGGGTCACATAATTTTAAAGATAATCTGAACTTTATCCCCGTACTCTCACCTTCTGCTCTACCTGTGAATACCGTTTGTTCTGCCTCTGCGGAATCTGGTGTAGTTGTAGTTGTAGTCGTAGTTGCAGATGTAGGGTTGTTAGTTACCTGCGAAGTTGGAAATCCAGTATCCTTTAACGCCTCCAATTCTTCAACTGCCGCGGTAATGTTGGCTAAAGCTTCATCCCATATGTCCATCCTCTCTTGGTTCTGAGCATTCTTCTCCTCTCGAGAAACAACGGTTGGTGCTTCGAGTTTGAAATTTTGGAAGTCTATAGCCGAATGACTTTCACCTATAATCAACGGAAGCATCGCCAAAGCAAGAAAAGGACTCATTTTTGAGCCTGGGTTACTCGGGCAATGGTTCGAGAACTTAACAAGAAAGGCCTTTTATGGTCAATCCAGATGGGTAGTGTGAAATGAAATCTCGTCAGGTGGATTAGTGTTGTGATCTCGTCAGGGGGATTAGTGTTGTTGATAACAATCTATATGTTAACCTTATATGTATATTGTCTATTATCTCTCATGCATATCTCACTTATCTTGATGGTGAATGTTGTGAGTAGTCAACTGGTACATCTGACCACGCAAACAGATACAGATCTTACTGGACCCTCTTGACAGGGGGCGCGTGGAATGTTGTACTCTGTTCACGAGTCGTCTTCCCACACTTCGCTTTCGGTGAAGTTAATACTACTACTAATAATTTACAATTCATTATGGGAGGGCGTGGTTTGATTAACGTTGGGGCTCTTCATGATAGAATTGTTTTGTGCACTTTTGCACACATTTATTTGTCTGACGATCCTCTTGTGAAGCATGTCAGGGTGAAAACAAGGCATTCCACAGTTTCCGTAAACGAGCCAAGGATGTGGGACGTAACTTCAGTGTCACTGTTGATTTTGTTGATGGTTCTGTACTGCTAGACGGGACAGATATGAGTATCAACCAAGTGAAGTGCCATGTCAAATCGGCCCAGACTCAGTTTTTCAAGGAGAGGCTATCTGAACAACCACTGCATCGAGTCGGTGTGTTGAGGAGATCAGCAACCCTGAAGAGTCCTCGCTTGGATGAAGTCGGCTGGCCTGGAAAGTGATGCAGAAAACTTTCTGTTTGCTGCTCAGGACCAGTCACTTCCCACTCGAAACCGTCAATGCGTGATTTTGCATCAAAATGTAAATATGAAATGTAGATTATGTTATGAATTTAATGCGACTGTCAAACACATTGTCGGTGGATGCCCAGCTTTGGCACAAACACAGTTTCTTGAGCGACATGATGGAGTGGCTCGATCATTTTATTACCGTCTTCGCCATGCTTGGGGTTTTGACACAGAGGTCCATCCATGGTACGACCCGGAATATGGTGAGGGCGTCATGGAAAATGATAAATACAAAATTCTTTGGAATAGGCCCATTTACAGGCTCAGACCTATACAGACCTACAAACCTGATCTTGTCCTTTTTGATACATCCAATGAAATCATTTATATTATTGAATTTTCTGTCCCTTTTGACATAAATGTGATGGACAAGATACTGGAAAAATATGGCAAATATGCAGACCTCGCTTTCGAAATGTCACGCTTGCATCCCAAGTGCCAAGTTGTTCGACCCCCCATTGTTCTTGGTGCCTAAGGTTTGGTACCCCCCAATCTGTTGACTGACATTGGGAGAGTACCCGGATTTGCAATCAGAAATACAGCTCTTCTGACAATCTGGGTAATGCAGAAGGCTGCAGTGTTGGGGGGTCTTATACCATGCATAAACAGCTGCCTCTTTGGGGTTATGCCACTTCGTCCTTCCTTTGATTCATAACCATATAACGCATACACTAGCTGTAAGATCTATTCATGTTTTATCCTATGACTACGATGCAATAATAATCCTATTGTAAATAACATAACAATTATCCATGAACTTAATATTCTGGTTTCATTTCCTTAAAATCACGTTTTTATTTCTCGAAATTGCTAGATTTAGCAACCTGAGGAAAATTTCCTCATACGCTCCTTTAATTATTATTATCTCTTTACTTCATTGAATAGTGAAAATGCACTTGTCACACTCTAAGAACAATATATCTGCAAGCACTCTGGACCTGTGCAATAATGAATAGCATTGTGGCGTATTCTAGTTTCACATGCTATCACGGTGGGGAGGCAGTAAGTGAATGTTCTAATTGTACCAGTGATGCTTTGGGCTACATGGAATCGAAATTGAGGACATGAAAGACATTCCCTCAGAATAAGTAGTATGATAACATGTGCCTATACTTGTATGGACCCGTGAAGATCCGGGTTAGAATCGGTCTTCAGCCACCCATGCTTGCCGTTAGAGACGACTATGCTTGTCGTAAGAGGCGATTAATTGAATCGGTCCCCAATTGCATGGATCGATGCTCATGATATTAATCACTGGATTGTCTGGTCCAGACTCGTTTATTTACAGACCGCCGTCATATAGCTGGAATATTGCTGAGTGCGGCGTAAAACAACAAACCAACCATATTTGTATGTTCGGAGAGTCTTGTAGTCCTTCAACTTTGCGGTTGGATGTGGGCTTCACCCTGACACAACTTCCTTAGTGAATCACCTGCACCTATACTTCTGGTTATGTCTTCTCACCTGCGATAAATTTGTTTGTTTGTTTGTTATTTAACGCCGCACACAGCAATATTCCAGCTATATGGCGACGGTCTGTAAATAATTGAGTCTGGACCAGACAATCCAGTGATTGAAATCATGAACATCGATCCACGCAATTGTGAAACTTGGCATAAGACAGGATGTCCCCCAACTCCCCCTCCCCCATTTTCCAAGAGTATTTTGGTTTTGGTTTGGTGTTGTTTAACGCCGCAATCAGCAATATTCCAGCTATATGACGTCGCTCCGTAAATAATCGAGTCTGGTCCAGACAATCCAGTGATTAATATCATGAGAATCTATCCACGCAATTAGGATACGATGACATGCATCAACCAAGTCAGCGAGCCTGACCACCCTATCCCGTTAGTCGCCTCTTACGACAAGCATAGTCGCTTGTTACGGCAAGTATGGTTGCTAAAGACCTATTCTACCACGGATCTTCACGAATCCTTCTCCAAGAGTTTGAACTGGTCAGTCCCTATCGAGGATTAATACATAACAAGAGTTTTAACGACACATATATCACGCGACTGCGGTATTGTGTAATGCAAGTTCAATTCAATTGTCTTATTTCGAGGGCTGCACGACATTACCGGTATACCGGGTAAACCGCAATACGAAATTGAAATAATTTCGTATCGCAATACGTTTGTGATGTACCGGTATACAGACAATGATTATATGTTTTCAAATTTAACTTGCGTAAAACAACTGATATTGTCAGTCGTTTTACCTACGATGTCATTGTGATGAAACTGCACGAACAGCTCTTTGATTAACCATTACAAGCTTACGTTACCACTAACACTGGACCCATATACATAAATAGACAAGGTACCTCGCTCGCCACATTGGCCGAAGTTGAAATCGGCTGTATCGTTTAAATAAAATGCAAATGTATGCATGTCATGTTGAAAATACCTCCCTCCCTCCCTCCACATACGCCCTGCTAGCCACAAACCTTCAGTTCGTGCATTTCATTACCTATAGCCTAATTTTATCAGGTGATTTTATCGAAGTAGTGGCTCGGATCGCGGATGTAAATAACAATCTCCGCACTCAATGGGGGCGAGCCCTCTGATTGGTCAATATCACAATGCGCGTTTCTTGTGATTCCATGGAGCGCGGACCAATCACAGCAATCGATGCCTTTAAGCGCGGAGACTTCCGTAACAGGCCTGTGGTTGTTACCTCCCTTGATTTGTTTAGACATGGCGGACAGGGACTATGCAGACTTCGAAGTTGTTTGTAACAAACGCGCTTAAGCCGACATTTGGCGACATTTCGGCTTAAAAAAGCTAAAATATAATGGAAAGTTCGAAGAAATTTAACGTTAGTGTAAAATACGCGGGGGAACGAGCAATTTGTCCACGCACATGCGTAGGCACCATCCAGCAATGCTTTCGACTTCGGTAGACAGAAGCCAGAAGACTGTCACTGCAGACAAAACAACAGTGTCTTCTTCTCCTACCTTTATGCTTGCATCGTCTCAGCCCACAATTTCTCATGTTTTTACAAGCAGCAAAATGTACCCAAATAACTCACACCAAGCCGAGCTGCAAAATGAAAAGGTAGTCAGGTATATTATCAACGGACTGCGACCGTACAGTGTTGTGGACTCCCCTGAATTTCGAGACCTTATCCAATGTCTTGACCCACGGTATAAATTACCATCGAGGACGACCTTTGCTGAGAGGATTATTCCTAATATGTACAAGAATGTGAAACGAAAAGTTGCTGAAAAACTGTCTGAAGCTGAACAGGTATTTTAATATATTTTTAAATCTAAATAAGTCTAATTTAAAAATACCTAAAATAAATAATTAAGTTATCTTAAAAGTTGAAATAATTACTTTTTAATCTAAAATTCATTAATTTGTAAATTATCAGAATAAGCACAGCTTGTGAAATGAATTAATGTTTATCACCATTTATTAAACATTAACTGTTTGTTAAATTAAAATGTTACAAACTGAATTACAGGTTGCCTTTACTACAGATGGATGGACTTCTTGTGCCACAGACAGTTACCTGACTATTACATCTTGCCACTTAAGTGTTAACTGGGAGATCATCAACTTTGCTCTGCAAACAAGGGTTCTAAATAAAAGTCACACAGGTAAATTGTTAGCTTTTTTATTTAACAATCAGAATTCGGAATTTTTTGTTCAAAGATTATTGATTCAAAATAGGGAACTATTAAAACTACTACCAAACTAATTTTAAATCACAAATGTGAAATATATGTGGGGGAGTAAATTAAAACGAATATCATTAATAATAAATGACATATTGACATATTGAGTTCAACATAAAATTAAGATAATTATTTAGTTTACTTTTCAGCTTTGAATCAGTTCTGTATGTTCCCTGCCTGGCCCATACCATAAACTTAGCTGTACACAAATCACTGAAAGTCAAGAGAGTGTCCCATGTCCTGGCGAAGATCCGTCGCATAGTAGCGTTCTTCCACAGAAGTCCAAAGGCAAGTGCAATGTTGAAGGACAAAGTGTTTCTCCTGTCACTACCTTGCCATGATCTTATAATTGATGTTGTAACACGCTGGAATAGCGCCTATGACATGATGACAAGATTCCAAGAATTGCAGTGTGATGTTCTTACAGTGCTGATGGACAAAGTAGTGTTCAAATGCAAAGGTGATTTGGTCACATTGTTAGATGAAACTCGACTGACAGAGGATGTGATACAGTTCTTGAAGCCAATGAAGGACATGACCACAATGCTATGTACAG